AGAACCTCCAAAGGGGTCGTTATGGCTTATCAAGTCAAATCCAAGTGCCTAAATATGGATTTGATCAATAGACTGTAATATCTCCAGGGGTGAATAATACACGTTTTTAAGAATGTGCATATTTTGCATACAAACTGTGGGTCTATATTAGGATAAATTACATGGATTCAACTTGTGCAACTTTGATTTAGAGATAAGAAAGGAATAAAAGGCTCATTAGAAGAGGTGCTAAAGTACCATGATTCCCAGGAAGTAGGCAATGACTCATGTCATTTATTTTGGGGTCTAATTCTTCTTTCCTACTGCAAATACACAGTTGTCTGAAAATCTACAAAAGATGAAGAATGGAATATAAACATTAAAATGTTACATTAAATTCTGCTTACTCTCAGATCTCAATGAATATGCTTCATGGGAAGTAAATGGGTTTGTGGGGATACAAATATGTTGTGGTAATTGATTTTGTATTTATTTTATCTTGGCTTCATGTATTTTTCTCCAATCATAGTTCTACCTATATTTTTATACAAAGATTTTATGAAGCATCTTTGTCAGCATTTTCCTGCTTTATGTACAAAAAAGATAGGATATGATTCTTTTTAAAATAATGTCAGTTATCTTATAAATTATATAACATTTTCAGATTCATTTAGAGCCCTAAATCAAAGCAAATCTTCTAGGCAATGACGGTAGTTTGAAATACTAAAATAAATACAAGTAGCTGAAGCAATGCAGATTTTGTTTAAGTACTCTTTTTTTGTTGAAGGTAAACATGGCTTGACAGAAAAAAAGTCACATCCTCTAAATGAATGAATTTTTGGTATGATTTTGCCTTTGCTTCTATATATATGCTATCTGTATATTATTTTCTTCATTTTCCTAACTCTCTCCCCTTGCCCAGAATTTGTAAAATGAATGAAAAAAAAAAAAAACAAACCTTTGAAAAAATGAATGAAAAAAAAATTGGGGAAAAAAAAAAAAAACAACTCTGTAAAATGACTGACACCATTACTCTTCCCTTTCCCCAGTCAGACCACAGTGGAGTTTTTTGCTCCACCTGAAGTGGAGCAGAAAAATTCTACTCTGTTAGGGTGATTTTTTTTGCCTCATGTGCATTGTACTGTTTTATGCTCAGAGTTAGGCTTAGTTCGCATGCTGCTGAGTTTTGGGTCTGTGACCAAAACAGAGCTGGATAACACAGGGATGTTTCACCTAGTGTCGAGCTGGGTTCTACAGCAAGACCTTTTCTGGTTTTGATGCTGCTCTGCCAGAGAGGAGGCTGGGGATGGGCCAAGCACTGAGAGGGGGACAGAGCCCAGCCAGCTGACCCCAACTGACCAGAGGGATATTCCACACCATATGACATCAGACTCAGAAATAAAATCTGGAGGAAGAACATGGAAAGGGAAATGTTTGGAGTTTGGGCATTTGTCTTCCCACGTAATTTATTTGTGCTGAAACCCTGCTTTCCTGGGAATGGCTAAACATCTGCCTGGCAATGGGCAGCAGTCAAGGAATTCCCTGTTTTATTTTCCTTACATGCACAGTTTTTGCTATACTTATTAAACTGTATTAATCAACCTACAAATTTTCTAATTTTGCCCTTCTGAATCTCCTCCCCATCCCACTAATGGGAGTGGCTGTGTGGTGCTCACCTGCCTATCCTAACCCGTGACTGTACACAAGCTCAAATAACTCCACAGGATGCTATCATCTCAGAAGTATAAACCAGCCTTAATACTTTGGCAAATTACAATGTTGGGCCCCAGAGTGCTGGATGTTTTTGTTTTGGTCTTTCTGATGAGTGAATCTCTGTGAGCACTTCCAAAGCTTTGTAGATTTTTTTTTTTTTTTTTTTTGAACAGCAGAATATGAACACAAGCAATTTTCAATTCTGTGTCTGTAACCAAATACAAAGCTTTCTGAGATTTAAATGACACATTTTCAAAAAGGCCTAAGCCCAGGCTTTGAAGTTATGTACATAATTTTGTGAGCACAATCATTTGCACAACAAACTATTACCAACTATCTGAACTTGAAGACCAGTAACTGACCAGAACTCAATAGCTTTTTTCAACCAGCTGCAGGCAATTAATTTGTCATCTTTTTCTGGTGCCAGCTTCCAGCTACTCATTTCTACAAGTCTAATTACCTGAAGCCAATTTCTGAAAATTTGGTCCTGAAAACACAGGGTTCTGATTCTTCAAAAGAAACCAATCCAAAATTGCAACTGTTATCAAAGCTTCACTGGGATTATGACAGAAACTATACACAGTTTTCTTGGCATACAATTATTTCAAAATTATGTTTTTCTAATTGAAGTGAGCTAGCATTCCTGCTCCCCCACCTCCATTTTGATCATTCTGCCCATCATTTTCAGAGTAAAAGAAGTATATCATAATGTAAAAAATTGAAAGGCAGAGGGTGAAGGGGGGAAAGAAGAGTGTTCTAGAATTCTGTTTGTGCAAAGAATGTTTCTGGTTTTAATGTATTTTATACTTGCTATAAAATATAAATACATTTTCCTAATATTCATGATTGAATTAATACTTTTATTTTCTTTAGGATAAGAGTGGTGATATATCATCATTGAAAATTACTGGTTTATATCCCATTCTTTTGCAGCCTCTGCCTTTTCTCACATCTATGGGGTGAGGAAAACAGACCAGCACACCAAAGGTAAAACCAGAGCACACTACAAGCTTTTGCTGCCTTAATGGCTCTGTAGTACCTGCTGCAATAAATAAACCCAGCAGGATTACATAGGGTCACCAAGAGACTTAACAACAGATTTCCCTGCTGCTGGTTTATCCTTAGGTTTTGAAAGTTGCAAGTGCCACCAATGAAAAGTCTCTTCACAAAAGATGGCATTTGAGAATGTTGTTTGTATCTGTAAAAGAGTTCTGATTCACTCTGCTATATTTGCTCTGACTGCCTGGTGTATAACCTTAATCTGGAAGCTGTGCATCAATCTGTGTATTGCTAGTAACTGGCACAAAATAGAAATTTCAGATTATTCACTGAAATATTTAGTGACTCTGCTTTAAGGGGTGAAAGATGAAATAGGAACTTGTAATAATGAATACAAGACATAAACATGATACTGAAAATACACAGGGAAGAGACTTAATAAGTAAGTGGATGCCATTTTTATACTTCTTTTTCAAAGTGAAATTAAATGTTAAGAATTCTTTTAATAGCCCTTATAGCAAATTAGATATTTTTCAAATGTCAAGCCACTGAAACTCATAAAATAAATTTTAAAATAAGCATAATTTTATAAACACTTAATACTTATTTTTATAAACTGGGCTTTAGTATCCTGCCTCTTGATTACTTAAGGCAAATACTGACTTTACAATTAGAGTGTTTGAATACAACCTGCTTGATCAGTTATTCATTTCTATATTTTTAACAATATCAACTTATATTAAAAGGGGCTTCCAATTATGAATTTTAAACTAATACTAGCAGAAATATATATTTATTAGACCCTGAGACTTACTTGGAAAAGCATTGTTTATTCTGTGTGGCAACATTTTAACCAATCTTTTTTAACAGACACTACTTGTTTTGAGTACTGTAAAGAAACAACCAAGCAAAAATATATAATGAAATTAAAAGGAGTGTATCAATCTTTAATGGGTCTGGTGTTGTTATTTCTTTGTCTTCATGTGCCTTGCTACAAAATACCCACTCAATAATTCCCTTGTGGGCTGAGAAAGATAAGAATAGTATCAAATTCATAATTTAAGTTGCAGTCAATATTCTGCTGAATCTTATACTCAACCTGGACTCAAACTCCTGTTAGTCTCTGGGCTACAATGTAGTCTTCCCTCCCTCACCCAAGAAACAAAGAGCCTACCCTGCCCTCCGATATGGTGAATCACAGAGTGTTTACAAGCCTTGGAACTACCCGTTGTTCTGGAGTGTTTTAACAATGGTCTGAAACACTGCATGGGCTAGTTAATGTGTCAGCTTTCTTTCCATCCATTACTAAATTGCATCATAACTGTTCTGTTTGCCAAAGCTTTAGTGATTACTGGGATACTGCTTTTCCCCTTCTAGATGACTGGAATAAGTATTGTGGTCTCTGACTGATTTTGTGTCAGTGGTGAAAAATTACTTGTGTGCTGCATTTTTTGCAGCCAGTGGCACCTCTAGGGAAGCTTACAGAGAAGCATTCTCCATCCACAGGGCTGCCTTTACCTCAGCCAGACACTCTGCTCTTTTGCCCTGGTGTACATGCAGAGACCTGGTGCTGGAGCAGATCCTAAAGACCTCAGAAAGGTCACAGAATGGGACAACACAGGTTCAGGGGATTTTCCAAGAGTCGTCTTTGTCCTCTAACTGGTGATAGAAACTGTTCCTTACCTTTCCTACATGCTGTTTTGTAAGCTCGATCATGTCCTCCTCAGTCCAGTGCTGGTCCAGTCTTGTTATCCCAAAACTTTTTCTCATTTATCCTTTTACTCTAGTGAGCCACCTCATTTCAGTGATTTAACACTGAAGATTCAACAGAGAATGTTTAATCTCTAATTTCCCACTGCAACTGAGAGCCAAATGCAGCTGTTTTGAGCCTAATTACCTTGTTGCACCTGAACCACAGATTCAAGCACACTCAATTCATGCACTGGCATTGTAATACTCCACCATGCTAGCACAGAACTGGCCTTTTAACCATATTTATCAGTCAAAGCCATTCTCAAAAGCACAATTCAAAATCTAGATCATGAACAGTGGAAGCTCCAACCAAGCCCTTCTCCATGTTTCTATGTGCATGCTCACAGCTTCCTCAGGTGCGTGCACAGGACCATGGGTGTGAATGCTGTCATGTACACCTAGAGATGTGTGTAGCACTGCACTGCAAAGTGACAAAGGTGTACTTAACATGAGATCAGAGAGGGCTAAATGCTCTAAAAAGAAATTTCATATAAAGATAAGAAGCTATTTTGCAGGGAAGAGTGAGTGACAGACTGTGGGGAAATGGGAGACATTACCTTTTCATTCCTGCAGTTGTTTAGACCCATGTTATTCATGGAGGGCAATTTTCCATCAACACCATGAGGCTGCTGTTGCTGCTGCTGTTCCCTTTGGATTTGCTCTCTCATTTTTCGAGCCTCCTGAATGGCTTTCATTACTGTGTCCTGGTCCCCAAATAGGGCAGGTGAATTAAGACTGGAAAGGATATCTATAAAGAGAGAACACATTTTATTTAGGTAATTATCCAAACTGGAATCCAGGGTAAGAATTCTGCTCTCACACTCTTAGAGCTGCATCCAACCAACATCTGCAGAAGGAGGAGCAGTGGCAACTTTTGTCTGTTTGAAGGCTGAATTACTCTTCTAAACTGATTGATAAACTCATGCACTTCTTTTTTTTTTTTTTGTTAAAAATACATCCACTGAGGTCTTGGAATAACCTGATGTAGAGCCATCTGAGCATACTCATGGACTCAAATTTAAATTTGTGTTTAAGACAATAGTATTCTGAAGCTTAAAATGCAAATCTTTTGAGGTAGTAAAAATAATTAATGAAATGAACAAAGGAAAAAATCTAATTTACTAGGCCATGAAACTCCATGTCGGTTCTTAGAACATCTTTATAGAGAGCACCATCATTCTAGACATTTGGATTTCTATTTCAGAAAGAGCACTAACATTTACTTTTTGGGGACAAAGGTTGTTATCACCATAACAGGAGTATAAATCTCTAAATGAGTTGAGAAAAAAACAGTTTTCTTTCTAGCACTCTGAACAGGAAGAAACTTTTAAACAAGCATCAAACTCAGGCAAGCATTCCTGTTACATATTACAATACATTCATGAAGATGAGTATCCCAGACACAGTTTTAGATTTGAAAGAAAAAGACAGCAATTATTTTGTGACTGTTTCTATTTTTGTTGCTTTGACAAAACTGAGATCCACCTGCTCCTTCATGGAAGTATTCTCTATACTTCAGTAGATTAGTGCATATGTATTCTAGCTTGGGAATTTTAAGTAGTCACAGTTTGTGTGTGACCTATGCATCTGCCCAGCCAGCAAATTTATTTTATAAAAGCTCTGAATTTGCTACATTTGTGTATTTATTGATAGCCTACTACTAAAAAAAAAAAAAAAAAAAAAAAAAAAGAAAAAGAAACAGTGAAAAATCCCACCAAAACCAAAATCCAAAACAACAACCAAAAAACCCCAAACAGGCTAAGATTTTGAATTAACCTTCAAAGATAATTTTAATATTCTTTTCCTTTCACTGGAGTTCAGGTGAGTACAATACAGCAAATTCAACCTCAAAGTACCCTAAATTATTTTAAAATAAAAATTATTAAGTGTTTCTCACACTTTATCCTGGGAACCAAATGCTAAATTTAATACTAAGTAAGAAGGGATGCAGGCTGTGATGTTTTCATTCTATCCAACAAGTGATTGGACTGGTGATGTTTTCTATCTGAATGAAACACCCCTCTCCCAAATAAAAATAATGTATTGTAAGACAACCATTGTTCTTGCTGAGGCAAACTTGCAATGTTCTGAACCATTTCAGCCACTAAGTTCCATTCTGGACCCTAAAGAAGTTGGGAACCACATTTGCATGATTTTTAAAGAGATTTAGATTCATAATCATGTACATGTAGCAAAAACTTCTACATGACTTGCTGATTGTTGATAATGTCCTCCTGTCTTTTTTATAGTTAAGGATTGAGACAATATTTTTTTATGACTTTAAGTGAAAAATATTTATACCTTAGGCACTGTTTGTCTTCTGTGTTCCTTTCCCTTGAATGGTCTATGACTTCAGATTGATATTTCACTTTCTAATGTAAGATAATGCAGTGATAGTTGCAAATAAGTTGACAGGTAGAGTATCTAGATAGTTGCAGAAAATATCTTTCAGAGATCGTGATGTTCCCAAGTGTTTGGGAATGGAAAAAAACCCATAATTTTTATATATTTAATATATGTATTTAACATATCTATTCATTATTCATAAGTGTTTCTATATATTTTACAAGTACACTTGAGCTACAGATTGTGAATAAGTGGTCTGTAGTAAGTATTTAGTCACTGTTAAAATTTACTATTTGAACTTTAGGGCTGATCATCTACATTTTGCAGCTCTTGATTCTTGACTGGTTAAAGTAGTGTTCATGCATAGTTTTCAGAACAATTTTGTTTCATCACTGAATAAGCTTAAAGAATCTTGAACACAGGTCAAAATTTCCCTACTTGTAACCGTATGAATCAACAAAATCCTGACAGATGGGTGAAGAAATGACAAAAATATGATCAAATAACAAAAACATGATGAAATCATAACATAAACTGGCTGGATTTATGCCTTTCCATTTCTATTTAAAAAACAATATATCTAATATCTGGTGAGGCTCCGTGTGTGTGCAAAAGTCATTTTTTAATTTTTTTGATCCAGAAGTCATAATTTAAAGATTAACTTTGTGTATATACACCCAGTAGATGCCTTTAGGAGAGATATTCACACAAACCTTTATTTATAAGTTTTTTATATCTATCTTTATTTACTTATCTGTGTTCATTTGTATGTATTTCCTACATTATGTATTTCTTTCCTGTGTTTGTCACACACTGATGCATCTCTTTGGATACTCTCATAAAACTTTGGCAATCAATCATTCTTTCAAAAGCTTCACTATAATTTTAAACAGAAATATATACCCAAGTATCTACTTAATCCAGAACTAAGGATGCTCAGGCTGGAATTTCATGCAGAAAACATGCCTACACTCTCCTTTTCCCAGGACAGATTAGTTACCTAGAGAGGACCCTCTTCCCAGAGATCCACTGAGCGGGCTGGGGATGCCACTCTTGTTCGTCACTGTCACTGGGCTGCTTTTGCTGGCTGGGAAGAGATTCTGCGTTGGAGATGTTGGGGATTTGACAGGTTCAGCTGTTTTGGGTCGGGCTGAGAGATTCAGTGGCTGAGCTGCTTCATCCTGCAAGAGTTTAATGTAAATAACTATTAGGAAAAGACAAAGAACGCATCACGTTGCAAGCAGCAGTTACTTTACACCTCGAAGACAATGCCACATTCCACAGCAATAATAACAAAAGAAGCTAATTATCTGCCTCCTTTAAGATTCAGCGAAAGGAAACCTCATTAATTTCTCTGTGTTATGCTTCTTATTTACATTAACTATGTGACTGGATCATTCTTTTTGCCAAATTAAAATTTGAATTAGCTCACATTACATCTTAATTTCCTAATGTGTTTTCAGAGATCTAAATTAACCTAGGGCATTTACAAAGAATTATTTAAAATTTCCAGCAGCTCGGTAATGCTTTTGCACTGGTTCTATTTGCAAAGTTCCTGGCACTATAAAAATAAGTTATGTAGCTTATTTTTAAATGTATTAGAAACTAAGGAATCAGAAGTACTACTATGAAAGAATCATTTGGAAGACCTGACAGCTCTTTGGCCCACATTTAGAATTGCTGCTACTTTATACATTCCATGCATCTAATTCAGAGTGCATGTTTTGTTCAGTGAAATAATATATGCTGGTCCCTCACAACAGGAGATAAGAATTTCACTGAATTTAAATTCCTTTACTTATTAGGGTAGTGACTACATACCATATATATTTAAAAATATTTTTTATTTACCACTGTTTAATTTTGTTAACTTTACAATATTTTATTATTCAAATGTCAAAACTATTTTCCATATAACTGCTATTCTGCTCTTTGTTCGATACGTCTGTATTATTCTCATATTCTGCATTTATTTCTGCTGCATTTAACTTTTATTACATATGTTTTATTTGCATTAAGACAAGGAACATTTTTAAGGGTGTGCAAATCTAGTACCAGCACTTTTATATGATTCGATATTTTTTCATTTGCAACTGTAGAAGAAATTCTCTCTGACATATGTCTTGTTTCTGTGCTGTAGAATAGGTCCATCTGAAAATATCAGACCTCTTTGAAGAAAACTTCAAGCAATTAATTTCTTTGATAACTATAAACATTAGCAATGCAGCCTCCTTCCCATTCTTTCAGCTTGTTCCTTTACTTAATACATTAAGCAAGACAGAGCACTTACAAAACTGTGAAACGGTGATTTTCTGTCATTAAAGAGCCCAGTAAGACAGATCTCTCATTTAAAATATGCCCAGAGCAAAATTATGCTGGATGTAAGAGATTATTCATATTTTAAAACACTTCACTGATCACTAGGAAGCTTAGAATTATGTCCGAATACAATAATACATCACATTTTCTCATCTTCTCCATTCTCCTTACTGTCAAGCAAAGTACATCTGGTCACACACAATGAATTAAACATGAAAACGTAACAAACAGGTTTTTATAATGCCATCCCATCACCAGCTTTAAACTTTTCCCATAAAACTGCATGACATTTCAATTCTTCCTGGCCTCAGAGTGTGCACAAACATCCACCACCTTTTGGCTTCCACGAACTTTTCCAAGAGTTCAGAGCCCCATTCAGACCATGAAGTTTGCCAGGCTAGGTACTGTGAACATGTACACATATGAATCTATGCTAGTGTTCAATTTTTAAATGCTTTTCCATCTCGTACTGATATGATAATGAAAGAACTCTAAACACTGTCAGAACTTGTTTGTTTGTATCATATGGACAGCATTGTCATTTCTGCAAGGCAACCAAAAAACTGGAAAACATTCTGCTCACTGGCTTAAGGAAAACCCATCACTACTTTTTGAAAGATCTGACTTCCATAAAAGAACTGCATTAATTCTATAAATAATACATGTAGTTTATACAAACTGCTTAAAACCAGAGAAAATATAGAGGATTTGTTGAGCAATACATGACCATCAAAACTGTCACAGCTAAAAAAGGTAACAATCTGTAGAGACTGAATATAGGTATTGCTTTCATACTAATAATTTCTTCATTAGCTATTGGTATTTGTCCACACAAAGCACTTGTAGTTCATCTTTAATATTCTGAATGCAGTAGTGTTCTTAATAAAAATAATAATAAAAAGACTTCAATTTTATTAACATATACTTTAGTCCATTCAAGTTACATTATATAGGGAAAGCCCCAAGAATTTGCATGTGGTCAATTCTGTAATAGGACTCAGCTGGCCACAAACCTGGAACAGTATTGGCCTTGGTTCAAGAAGATATGTGCTTGAATTTAACCAGGGAAAATTTGACTCATACAGTAAAGGTTTGGTTTGGTGTAGGTCCATTTGGCTCGCTTACTGCCAGAATTACTTTTTCACATTAAAGTAGTCAGTAGTATATTCTCAATGCCATAAATCACTGGTGTTAGGTATCACTATACTATGGCAACTTTGCTGGAACAGTTGGGCTTTGCTTTCGGTGGCTTCTGTATTGACCGTAGCAAACTCTGCATATGCGGTAAATTTCCCTGACTGTTCCCAAACCTGGCGTTGGATTACAAGAGGTAAAATATTAGACTAATACACATCTACAGCTAAGTAAAGTGAACGCTTTGCTAAATAAATGTTAGATCTGACCATAATGGAATAGTTTTTATTTATTAGTACTCTCAGCCTAGCAAAAGAGTGTCATGGAAATTTATCAGCCCAGGCAGAAATATCTACTCACCCACACTTTACCGCGATGATTGATGATAATGAAAAACCAAATGATATTTTACTCTCATGTCAAAAAATGGAAAGAAAGAAAAAAAAAAAAAAGAAACCACCACCTCAAGTGAGTAAAATCTTCTCAGGCTGGTTTGAAGCTAAGGACTGTTTGCCTGTAAGGTGTCAGCAGCCAGCAAAAAAACCCTAATACATTCTCTCTCTCTCCCCACAAACATGCCACATTTAGATTTATTTTAATTGTTCTGCATTAACATCTCTGTCATTCAAATGGATAAAACATCTGAATGTTGATTTTTTTTTTTTTTTTTTTTTCAGTTTGGAGTAAATTGCTCCTGAGCATGTTTTTCATTCTCATGAGATCCCCAACCACCCCAGGAGAACACCGCAGGAGAAGCCAGGCAGTCGCACCCAAGAGCTGCTCCAGGGTTTCAGGGGGAGCACAGCCTCATTCCAGGCTCCTGGCAAATGCCATGTTGTAGCTGCCTGGTTCCAAGCTAGTGAGAATAAGCAGGCACAAGCACTCGGCAATGGAGCAAAACCAGCGAGGAGCAGCGTGGTTGTCAGCAGCTGTGTGAAATCAGCAAAAGTCAAATCAATCTGCAGCGACACAATGTTTTCCCCAGAGCCCTGACTTACATATTATTTTTATAGGAGGCTTTTCCAAAACTGTAGAATTAAGTACAGCTAGAGATTTGTAAAATAATTAGAAGATCTACAGTCTTTCTCTTACCCTAACAATATAAGCCAGCACCACATCTTAAGATACTCAAGAGTTCAATGTGAAACAATTTGTGAAATGGATGCCATTTATGCATGTTACCAGATTACAAACTGAAATCTTGAAAATATCACATTTTACTGATGAATCTGTTGGGCTGCTTCTGGTAGGAAGAGGGATGCATGGTATTTTTGGAAACAAGTGCATGCTTTCTCTTCCCTTCTCTCTACTGATAATACAGTACTGAAATGGAACTTTTTATTTGAATATCGAAGAACAGTACCGTGGTTCAGCTTCCAACTGTAAAATAATTACAGAGATCATTTGCTTTTACTGTCCTTCTCAAACACCAGCTTTTTTCTTTACTGAAAAATACCTTAACTTGAGTTACCGGGCTGGTCCCTCTCTTCTCATTTTTCATCCCAGTGGGTGAAAGTGCCCCTGTTGTATTTGGTGGCTGTGGAGTAGATGGCATTTTGGCTCCAGGAGAAACTTGCATGCTTGCCAGCTGAGCTGCATACAGTTGCTGGAAGACAAGAAGATATACATATATTCCTGCAATATTCCTAAAGAAAGAAGCTGTAAATGCACTTTTTTTTTTTTTTCTTTACACTGGTGTTTCTTCTCTTAAAGGATCTTTTTCGGCTCTGCTCGTGGCTTTACTTTCTGCTATTTGCAAAAAGAGAAAAAACAAAGTCTGGAAAACTCACAAACACCAATATCTTTTTTCTTCATTTGACTTTTGCTGATTTTTCTTGATTTTTTTTTCCTTCTTGCTAATGATAGTCATGGTATTGAGCAAAAAAATTACGCTGTGCCAGAATATTAAAAACAAAATTTTAAGGCTATTTATGAAAAGGAGGTATACACCCCTGACAGAAACAATAATAATCCAGGTCTTTCTGTTCTTAGCAAGAAATTAACAACTAACTCCAGAAACTCTACTGGGAGCTGCCACAAGAATGGTTTCCTACAAAAGGCAAAGTTAAAATAGCCAACAAGGTATGTCTCCATCTCTCTGTACAGTTATATATGTTCTATAAATGCTAATAACGAATCTAAGCCTTAAATGTTCCTGTAAATAGTGATGAATGTCCAAAAAAACTCTATGGAATTTTTCAAAAAATTTAACTGAAACATAGATTTTATATTAAAATAAACAATCCCAACCAATAAAAAGTGTTTACTGGACAAAACCAATTTGGTCGAACTTCTTTCCAGTGACCAAACTTAAACCCTCACCTTGAATTAGCATCACAAATAATTCTTCTGCCATGAACAGGGAAGATCCTAATCCCTCTTCTACACACAGATCTACATAAACTTTGCCTTATTAGTGAGAAAAAAGCCAGGTGGTTTGTATGTAATTTCCAACATTACTATCATTCAGATGGACAAATAAAAAAAATTACAGTAATCAAAAGCAGACCTTTCAGCACATGTAATTAAATGAAAGCTTAATAAAGAATAATTTGCAAGAGCCAGATGTGCTTATGTCATAATTGTTGCTTTCTTTGGAACAATTTTTCTAATATAACAAGCCTCCACAGAAATGAAAGTTACACAATACTCGAAGTTCAGTGACTCAGTGGTGAGACAAACGCAGGAGGGAGGGGCAAAGTCACAGCTCAGGGTGACAAATAAAAACTATTATTTGTTTGTTTGTTTCCACCCCTCTCCAGTACCACACAGGAACTACAAAAGGATCACAGATTAATGTTTTGAAATTAGTGGTGTTTAAATATTTTGGCTAAGGTACAAGGTTTTCTCCTATGCTTGAAGGAAAAAGATTGAAAACAGAAAAAAAATCCCAGTTATTGGTGAGGTCTTGGAGAATGAAAATGAAGCATTTCATACAACAGTAGGCAGTGGTTTTTTTTCTCCTAATAATATAATCTCATCCCTTTTAGAATATTCTTGCGGTCAACCTTTGCTTGCTTAATACGATGATCTGCTTAAATGAGAGTAAAAAGCACATTTCACAAACTTTTGAAATCCTGCATATTCTCAGCTCAGGAATAATCAGGCACTACACTATGAAAGAGATAACACAATAAACTTGTATGCAATTTAAAGACAAAACCCAACAATTATAAAGGCTCTCTCAGTATTCTGTGGTTTGTCCATAAATACTTTTCTTTTTTAACCAATATAACTTCTTCTTCAACTATCTGAAGAATACTTACACTTTACTAAAATAAGAATAAAACTTTTGTACTTACAGTACTGTGTGTTGCACTTTCAAGTGTGTGGAAGGAATTCTGTGTAAATAAACTCATATTTATTAACTAAAGTTCAAAAGAATTTCCTTCTCAGGTAAGCTATCAGGGCACAAAAATGTGGGGTATAAATTATTCTTTCTACAGTATTCCATTTTTCATAGAAGACAAAACTTGATTGTCAATTGTGGCAACTAAAATAGTGTGGTGGGTTGACCTAGGCTGGCTGCCAGCTGCCCAGCCAGCCACTCTGTTCCTCCTCCACTTCAGCAGGATGGGAGAGAAAATGAGATAGAAAAGCTCATGGGTCAAGATAAAGACAGGGGATCTCTTACCTGTTACCATCACATGGAAAAAAAAAAAAAACAAACCAAAAAACAAAAAACCAAAACAAAATAAAAAAACCCCACTTGGCTTGGGATGAATTTATTTATTCTAATTAACAATAGATTTGCCTGGCAAGAAGCAGAGATAAATACTAAGGACCTATCCCTGCCACTTCTCCTTGAAAATTTCTTGAAGAAATGTTTCAAGATCAATGCAAAGGTAGAGACACGTGACACCAGTCAGAGCAGGACGTGCTGCTCACCTGCATCCCACCAGGTCCAGCAACAGAAACAGCCACAGCATGTGGAGGGTTAACATCAAGAAAAGTGGGCTGTTCTACTGACTATCTAGGAAACTGGTTTTGGAAATGCAACCAGGAAAAGTAGAATAAAATTAGAATTTTTCACCACTCCCCTCCCAGGGTGTTGAGGGCTGTATTGGCTGTATTGCAAGTCCTGTCAGGGAGAAATGTTTCTAAGGGAAGACAGAATAAAAGAAATTTTGTCATTTATATATCTGTATGTATATATCAATCATGATTGGATTATTCCAAGGTCTCAGGGCTGGCTTTAGCCTGGCATTTCTATAAATTTATTTTAAAACATAAAAGAAAATGTATAAATAAGTAACAGCAATTGGCTTTCTGCTTTGCTTAAAACAAAGCTGTTCTACAAGCAAGTACAAATACTGCAAGAATTCACACCAGCACTAGCAACATTGCTGTGTGGACTGGAAAGCTGTATAAGTTTTAAACACCAGTTTGTATGGGGAGTAGCCAGTGTGGAAAAATATGTACATGCCACCATTGCAGGGAAAAAAAGGGCTATTTTTGCAAATGCCACTGCTGTGGCTCAAAATGGCAATTCAGGACCTCACATTGAGATGGTCAGATTGTGAAGCTTCTATTTGCAAGATTGAGGAGAGGAATAAAACCCAAACATTGAATGAATGTTGACTGTTGGCTTTTAAAGCTCAAAAAAAAAAAAAAAGCTTCAATGGAATTTTTTCAACTGAAATTTTTACCTGCAAACTATTTCACAAGTAAAAAAATTAAAATACCTTAAACATTGAAACATATAATATTTTTGATCTATGCCTATCACATAAAGAGAGAAGAGCATTTCATAATCCTTATGCTCACCACTGACTCAGGAGGCTCTTGATTACAAATTAGATATTTAAAAACATCAAGTATTCTTGATTGTTTTAAGAAGCCTTAAAAATGTATAGCCTGGTTTTTATTTTTTTCTCAGAGGTCAAAATGTTAAATTCTTACAATCCAGTTCCCAGCATATAAATAAAAGTAATGCTCATTTTGAGTTCCTCAGTGCTCCTGAAATAGTTAACAATTTTCAAGCCCAGCTTATTTAAGGTATATAAACAAGGATGCAGCTTTGCAGCTTTCAGAACCAGGGTTCTTCTAATGTCAAATTTGACAGCTAAGAGTGGGATTTTGAAATGCCACAAGTCTCAGGGCAATGGCAAGTCAAGTCTCACATTTAAGCACCTATGAACTAACAGGCTCACAGACTTAAGAATTTGTTGCTAAAACTCTATTTCAGCTGTAATCAACTAAAAATTGGAGGGGAATTTATGTAAGTTGGAGGTCACTATGAGTCTGAATGATGCTCATCTACTTAAAAAAAAATTTCAAACAGGTAGGAGAGTGCTGTACTCAGCATGTGCACAGAACAGCACAAGCACATACTGATTTTTTTACCTGGAAATGGTGGCATTCACACTAAGCCTTTGTTAGAGCTTAGAGCTATTCAAGAAGAATTGAATAACAAACATAAGTAATGATTCTGTTGTGATGGTGATGGTGTTTTCTGCTTCAGAAATTTCCTCCAGAATCTTATGAATTATTTCGATTTCACTTTTCTTATAAAGTGTCATCCACGATCTAGAATGTATCTAAAAAGCTATGAACTAATAACAGACCATCTTGACTGATCCAAATGTTAAAACCTTTTGTAATGCCATCTAAGTTTCAAAATGCCTTTGTGAGATATTTTCATAGCACAGGAGCATAATTGCCTTCACTGCCAGTATTCATTCATGCCTTGCCAGAAGACAAAGGCCTCAGGCTCACACATTGCTCTCAAAAGTTTCAACATTTTTTCATCTAGTTTTTTCAACTATCTTTCAATAATCAAAACTCTTTCATTAGCTCAAGCCCCTTTCCCTATAACTTTTGTCTTGCAATAAGTCTGTGATATTCCTGGACACATTCTCTGCCAAATGAGGCTGAGCATGGCAAATATAAACAGAGCAAAGCTTTTTCTGCATCCGACGTTTTCCCTTTTTTTGCAGCAGGAATATTCATACTTATCTCTTAGGCTGCATCATGAGTCTAAGAGAATAAATAAGAGTTAAGAATTTTGAGAATCAAATGCTACAGAAGTGGCACATGGCAAGGAAAACAGAATGGGCCATAGAATCACTAAAGTTGAAACAACCTCTAAGATCACCAAGTCCAACCATTAGCCTTGCCCTGCCATGTTCACCCACTAAACCTTGTCCCCAAAGTGCCACATCCACATCATGATTCTTTTACCAAGGGCTTGTCAAAAACAGCTCCTAGGGAAAAATTGGTTTTGAGAAGATAGTTCAATAAGCTGCTGCACAGAAGAGAGGGAGCTTCTTTAGATGCACAATCGCAGGGAGAAAATGGAGAGACCAGTTGCACTCGTTTATACAGAAGGAGAAAGGCAAGGGCTAGAGACCTTTCAACTGACTCTGTGGTTGAGGGAGCATTTGTCACAGCTGCAGGGATGTAATTCAGATGTTATTTTTGCAGCAGAATTCTGAAGAAACAATAAGAAAGCCATGTGTGAAACATGGAGATAAGAAAAAGAGAGGTTGCAATACTCAGTGGAGCAGATAAACAAAGTGTGGGTGATGAGGGCTGGCCCAGCACAATAAAATGCAATGGGTGTACTTGGAAGATGCGTCACAAAGAATTGCAGTAGAAGGTGAC